AAAGAAAGAAAGAAAGAAAGAAAGAAAGAAAGAAAGAAAGAAAGAAAAAGAAAAAAAGAAAGAGAGAGAAAGAAAGAAGGAAGGAAAGAAGGATAGAAAGAAAGAAAGAGAAAACATATTTAGGGGTGGCTGGGTGGCTCAGTCAGTTAAGTGTTTGCCTTTAGGTCAGGTCATGATCCTGGAGTCCTGGGATCCGGCCCCACATTGGGCTCTCTGCTCAGCGGGGAGTCTGCTTCTCCCTCTGCCACCGCCCCCCCCACTCATTCTCTCTCTCTCTCACATTCTCAAATAAAATAAAATCTTAAAAAAAGAAAAGAAATATCTTTAGTACAGGATTTAATGTCTAAAATATAGTAGGCATGTATGACCTTGCTTTTGCTTTCAACTAGATTATAAACTTCTTAAAAATAGAACTATAACATTATAATTATTTGTTTATTTAGTATCTGGCACACATTAGGCATCGAGTAATTTTTTAGTTTATAATTTTGGTGCAGTGGTAATAAAATTCTCCAGAGTGGATTTTTATTAAAAAAAATATCTTCTGGAGACTTAAGATAGCAAACCCTGTGTTATACTTTGTAGACACAAAGATGAATAAGCAACTATCCTTCTTAGGGGACCTTAAGTTCAAGAGGAAACACAAAATAAACATGATGAATTGGAGGGGTGCCTGGGTGGCTCAGTTGGTTAAGTGACTGCCTTCAGCTCAGGTCATGATCCTGGAGTCCCAGGATCGAGTCCCTCATCGGGCTCCCTGCTCAGCAGAGAGTCTGCTTCTCCCTCTGACCTTCCCCCCCTCATGCTCTCTCTCTCTCATTCTCTTTCTCAAATAAATAAATAAAATCTTAAAAAAAATTAAAAAAAAACATGATGAATTTGGTTTGTTACTAAAAGTGAGCATAGTGGCAATATAGTAAAAGAAAAGATTATGCTAGTTTTAGAGGTTAGTGAAGATCTGGGTCATGTGAGCTGGGTTTTAAAGAATGAGGAGGAGCTTGCCAGGCAGATGAGGAGACAAAGGAAACGAAAAACACACAGAGGTAAAGAGGGGCATTATCTGGAGAGATGCTGAGTGTTCAGGTATGATTCAGATATGAAAAATATGTATGTGATAAAGTTGGAAAGGTTAAAAAAAAAGGCTTCGTATATCAGGCTAAGAAATTGGAATATATGGTGTAGAATTAAGGAGGCTTAGAATTTTTTTTAAGTGCTAGAGTCACATGACTGAATATGTATTATAATACTCACACTAATGGCAGTGTGGAAGACAGTTGAGTAGGAAGACTGGAAAAGTGGGAACCAGTTAGAAAAAAGAAAACAAAATGATGTTTTGGAATAACTGACATGGAAGAATCTTTACCCTAAGGCCCAATCCAAGGAATTCAACTAGATATTATTTGGACTTTTCAGTTTTGAGTTTCTATTTCATATTTTTCCATTTTTATGAGTAGACATTTGTCAAGCAGGATACAAATAATAAAATGACTTACAAATGGTATGTGGTGTCCTTTTGAGTATTAGAGTAGATGTGAAAATAGGGTCAACAGAGAGAAACAGAGAGAAGGTCATGTGAAGGCAAAGGACATCAGAGTGATGCATTTACAAGCCAAGGAATGCCAAGATTGCCAGCATCCACCAGAAGCTAAGATGAGGCATAAAAATATCCTAGCCTAGAGCCTTTAAGAAAACATTTTGCTCTTCTAGCATCCAGATCTATTGTCCAGAGAAAATAAATGTCTGTTGTTTAAGAAAAAAAGAAATAAAGAAAAAAGAAAGAAAATAAGTCCAACATCTTCCAAGGGGAGCTTGGCTTCTCCTTAACCTGAAGGTCTCTCTCTTCAGGCAGCTACATCCACATAGATATGTACAGAAAATCTGTCACTGATCAAATTAAAGCCTAGGCAAATCCAACTGTAAGCTTGTCAAATCTATGCACCTATGGGTATTTGGAGTGTGGGGTCCCAGTGGTCAGGACTGCAGGGAGAGACTGTTCTGTGGGCTGTCCTATGGGGTGCACATGAGTGATACAAAGCTGTCCAGAACAGATGTAACCAAATCCTGGTAGGCTGAGTTGTTACTTTGAAGAGGCAAGGTTTTCTACTATGCTGCTGGGAGACCAAAGAGTTCTTTTGGCCAACATGAGGTTGTGGAGTAAAGGTGGGTGGAGGGAGAGAGGACAGTGGCAACAGCAGCCTAGAAGTACCCTCCCACTCTTACTTCAACTCAAGAAGATCCAGGGTTGTTTTTATTTTTTTTTCTGTTTTCTATAAATTTCATTTTAGATTTCATTTGAATGAAGCATTCTATTTTGTTAAATATTTTATATTTTTAAGTAATCTTACATGCAGTATGGGGCTTGAACTCACAACACTGAGGTCAAGAGTTGTACACTCTGTTGACTGAACTACCCAGGTGCCCAAATAGTGTTCTAATTTAAAACCAATTTGAAAAACACTGGACCAGATATATAAGGCAAATCCAGGTGCATGGGAAAGAGATAAACCTTAAATGCTAAAGAGAGACAAAATTTTGAGGGCAGTTGGTTGGAATCCAAACCTGAATGAATTCCCTGAAACATCACAGCCTCAGATGCAGGAGGATAAACTAGTGCAGACACTACTAAATTCTAGAGGGGGCCTTCAGGAATTATCCAGTTCCTTAAGCATGCCACTCGTATTCTCCAGGGTTTCTCCCAACTTTGGACCAATAAATACCAAGGTGAAACAGTTTCTAAGAATAATTCATTGGTCTCTGGATTTATTGAGAATATGTATCACCTAAATTTGTACTATTTCAGAGGAGTTATTTCTTCAGATGTAAAAATTTTCTAAGCCCCACTGAATTTGTTGGTCCTTCCTTCCTTTCTTCCTTCTTTGCTTCCTTCCTTCTTTGCTTCCTTCCTTCCTTCCTTCCTTCCTTCCTTCCTTCCTTCCTTCCTTCCTCCCTCCCTTCCTTCCTTCCTTCCTTCTTCCCTCCCTCCCTTCCTCCTTCCCTCTCCTTCCCTTCCTCCTTCCTTCCTTGCCTTCCTTCCTTGCTTCCTTCCTTTAAAATTTACTGAGTATTTGCTATGGTCCAGACACTAGGAATCTAAGATATGTGCAGATCCTCAAGGAGCTTACAGATTTGTGTGAAAGACAAGTGAGTATACAAATAACACAGCCCAGTACCTGCTAGGGTAGAGATGAGCATAGAGCCTGTAGGAGTAGAAGATATTGATTGCATCAAAACTCCTAAGAAATTGAGATCAATATTTGTATGGCTCTAGAAGAACTGGTTGAAATATTTTAGACATAAACTGTGATGTTGGGGAAGCTTCAGAATACTTTCATAGGCAGAATCCCTATGAGACTATTAATATGTAAGATAGATGATTGTGAGGCAAGTGTTAGAGAAGATGTATAAAATAGAAGTGATTTTTAAAATGAACAAATGCACACAGAATATGTATGCAGATGAATTACTCAGACAGTGTGATGGTAAGAGTCCAAATACCCTCAAGGAATGTGGTACTCACCACCATACCTGACACACAATTATCACATGCCAATTTAGTTTATTGTGTTGAATTAAATATGAACATGCCCAGATTCTTAGAATTGGAAGGAGTGTGGAAGAGCATGCCATCCAACAGCCCACTAGTGCACGCAATGTGTGTTTCCTTACCATAGGCTGGCTGTCGCCAGGTCCCCTTGCCCTACACCTGCACATTTGCACCACCACCGCAGCTCAACTCCTCTCAGTACCAAATATGCCACTGCTACAGACCCATTATTCATATTTAAGTGATAAAAACCCAAACAATAATAGAGCCAAAAGGAGAGAGTGAACCAGGAAAACCAGCATTAGTTATAGAGGTTCTTGTATCAGCTGATTCAATTGTGTATCATTTTAATAGGCCAAACATTTTTCTTCTATTGTGGCTTAGATTATTTTACAATCTTATTTCACATTATGTATTATGAAATTCCATGAAGGCAATTGGGAAGAAAAGGAATTATAAGAAACAGTAGGAATTGAAGAGAGAATGGAAAAGGACTCTATCTTATTAAAATTTTCACAATCCAATTACACAATAGACTTGTGATTGTTTTATTTTCCAACCTGGAGTTATGGTTTTTCATCACACACACACACACACACACACACACACACACGCACTAATTTTGTACCTATACTTAGGATTTTCCGTATGGACCCAGATGCTATAGTAAAATAACATTTTTCAAAATTTGAATAATGAAATTTATATAGTATATATGATATATATATATTAATATAGTATATAGTGTACATATATTGCTATATGTATATACATGTTTATGCTATATACTATATACATAGAGTAATATAGCATTTTTCAAAATTTGAATAATGAAAGGGTTGAGACATAGATCCCTAGAAAAGAGTAATGATCAACTAAAAGATAATCTGATCACATTTTTGCATTTTATGTTTATATATATATATATATATATACAAAATCCCATGTTTAATTCTAATTTCTAATATTTTTTTTCAAGGAAGCTTACAGGTTCGCTATCAGCTAAGCAAGGAAGAAACCCAGGTTTTCAATATTGATGCAGAGAACTTTGCCAACAGAAGGATGCACCATTTGAACATTAACCGCGAGGGAAGAGAGCTTACCATTCAGGTATCTTACTTAACTTCTTCTCATTCAGTCGAATATGCTTTAGCTGTTCAGTAAAATTTTCTGAGTTTCTACCCTGAGCCAAGCACGCAGCCAAGTTCTGGGGATAGATATCAAGCACACTTGACTCCAGCTTTTGAAGAACTAGACAAAATTGAACTACTGAACTACAGTGTGTTCCCCGTTTGCTACCAGCATGAACATCTCCTGAGACTTTGTTAGAAATACAAGTTCTTGGGCCTTACATCAGAATACTTAATCACAACTTTTTTGCAGGAGGTAGCAGGTGATTCTGAAGCCTGATCAAATTTGATAACCCTGAATTGGAGTATAAGAGGAGGACACACAACTGAAGAAGAAATCACAAGAGACTGTCAAGGGCTAGGGGAGAAATGTGTGCAGGTGTTATGGGAGCACAGATGAGGCCACTGATCTCTTCTGGGAATCAATATTTGTTTCTTGGAGAAAGTTAGGAATAAACTGAGTCATGAAGGTGAGGAGGAATTGGCTAAGTGGAGAAGAAAGAAAGAAATGCTCAGATGGTGGGTCCACGTGAGAATCAACAAAAATGTCCAGAAATGCATAGCATGTGGCAAGCACTCTGGAATTCCAGGGGTGTTGGTATAAAAGGCAGGGATCAGATGAGGGCACATGACAACAGAGAACTGGCAGAGTCCACACCATCCTATTCAGAATCATGACTTCAAATGAGTCCTTCCGTCAGCCCAGCAATTGCCTCTTATTTTTTTTAATCCATCACTCTCTTGATCTCTTAGATGATAAGTTTAAACCTCCTTCTTTCCCCTTACACCCCAACAATTACAACCCCATCTTCACTTGTATGAGATGACTTTCTTTTCTTCTTTATTGTGATAAATGTAGCATTCAGAAGACAATACCTGCACACTCTCACCACCACATTTACCCATACACATGCATTGGTGTCCAGGAACTTTGTCTCCCTCATGTTGGTGAATATGAGCAGGCAGGACTTCTTTCTAAGACTGAATCCATGACTTGTGGGACAGGTCTCATACCACACTGAAGAACATCACTCCAGCATCTCCCCTCCCTTGTCAACATTTGCCAGTTCTGTTTGGATGGCTTCCCAAAGCATAAACATGCAAGGATTGCATTCATTAAAAACACAATTACAATACAATACAACACAACACAACACAGCATGACAAAAATCACTCTCTAGGTCAGGGAAGGGAACCTCTCTCTTGTCTGAATTCATGTACTGTCCCATTTTCTCTTTCAATTCAGTTTATTGCCCACATCCTTGGAAATGTTTATATATTTGGTCTTCCAAGTTGCCCTTCCTTTTTCTTAAACCAGTGAATAATTTGTTTCTGTGCTGGACTAAAATTGTACTTCTAAAGACACCAGTGATCTTACAGAATCTAGCAATCTTTTCCTTACTTATCTTCCCATTGACATTTGACACAATGATGCCTCTGCTCTTGAGACACATTCTTATTTAGCTTGTAGGACATCAATTTCACCTGTTTCTTCTGTATCTGCTGGATGCTCATTCTCTTCTCTTTTGTTGCCTTCCCATCATTGTCTGAAGTGGAGCATCCTAGGACTCGTTTTCATTTCTTTTGTGTCTACACTCATTCTGTGTCTAATCTCATTCAGGCTCACATCTTTTTTTTTAAGATTTTATTTATTTATTTATTAGAGAGCAAGGGAGCGAGAAACAGCATGAGAGGGGAGAGGGTCAGAGGGAGAAGCAGGCTCCCCACTGAGCCGGGAGCCTGACGTGGGACTCAATCTCTGGACTCCGGGATCATGACCTGAGCCAAAGGCAGTCGCTTAAACAACTGAGCCACCCAGACGCCCCAGACTCGCATCTTTAAATGCCATGGAATGCTGATTAATTAATCCCAAAGCTACATTTAACTCCAATCCTTTCTCTGAATTCCAGACCTATCATTGCCGACTTGGCATATCTCTTGAATGTCTATTAGCCATCTCAAATGTTACATATTTCACATTGAGTTACTGAAAATCTTTCCCCAAACACTCCCTACCCCCATAAATCTTCCACACCTCAGTTAATAGCAGCTCTATTCTGGCAACTTCTCGATCTCAACATTATGTTGTCATCTCTGATATCTCTCCTCTCACATGCAACATCCTGTGGATCAACAGCCTCTACCATGCCCCAGCCACCCTCCTATCTTCCTTGGATTATTACAGTTTACAGTTGCATCTTAATTGACAGATCTCTCCTTCACTTTTTGTTGCCCTACAACCTGTTCTCAACATAGCAGCCAGAGAGATCCTATTAAAACATTAATCAGATGGTTCTCTTCCATCCAAACACTTCAGTGGTTTTATTTCTCATGTAGAGTAAAAGCCAAAGACCTTAAGAAAAAAGTAAGTAGAGTGGAGTAAAAGCCAAAGACCTTGAGAAGCTTAAGGGGGTCTCCGTGACCCAGCCTCCACAGCTCAATTCCCATGTTACTCCCATCTATCGGTATTTTCTTTGACTCTACATTGCCACTCTGTCCTCCTTGCTGTTTCAGGGCTCTTGAACATCCTTGAATATGGTTTGCTTAGAATGCTATTGTCCATATATCTACATTACTAGTTGTACTTGCACTTCTTTCAGGACATCTCTCAAAAAGCAATTATTCTTAATGAGACCATTTTTGATCACCTTGTTTAATACAGCGAACTTGCCCTTTGACATCCACCCTACAGTGCTTAAACACAATCTAACATTCAATATAATTTATTTATTTATTTATTTTGTCTTCTCTCTCCTCTAGAGGACAGGAATTTTTTCTGTTTTCATTACCATAGAACCCCACTTTATCAAGCAGTGCCTAACATATAACAGGTACTCAATTAATATTTATGAATGAAATGAATAAATTCCACAGGGCTTAATTTATTATGTGGAGGAGATCAAATTGGCCCTGTGGAGAAAGGAAGGGAAACCATTGGATTTTAGGCAAGGGAAGTAGAATTTCATTTTCAGGGGCTCACTGTGATCACTGCATGGAAATACACATTGGGGAGTGATGAGGCATAAGACAGAGGCCAGTCAGAAAGAGTTCATGAGGGCTTCAATTAGTGCAGTGGGGGAACCATGGACATGATGTGAAATGTCATAGAAGTAACATCAGTAGCATTGGGCAACCTTTTAGATGTAGGTTATGGGAGAAGTCAAAGATGACTATTAGTTTTCTTGATTGAGTGGGGGTTCAAGAATAATTGTCCAATGTGTGGTAGAAAACAATCCCTGAGTGGTTTTAATATAATGAGCTTCCCTCTAGAATTTACTCTTGAAATAAGGGGGGCACATCTTTGGAGAAAGTTTGGTTTCGTGCAAGATTGGAAGATAAAAGGGATGGGAATGATAACTTCTCATTTGAATGTCTTGACATGCAGGATGCATTCTGGTGGGCATGTGTACATATGATTCAGTTTTCCTTCTTTATATTTCCTGTATTCTTTTCCACAAATGAAAGACAAAAACAGGTCAGTGAGGGAACAATAAGAGGCATTTCCTTCTCTTTTCCATAAAAAGATTTCCACCAATCAGTTTAATAGTGAATGATAAGCACATGTTGGTTGAGAACAAATTACTTCCAAAACCTTGAGGGTGCAGAAAGAAAACTGGAGCAGAGGGGTACCTGAGTGGCTCAGTCATTAAGCATCTGCCTTCGGCACAGGTCATGATCCCAGGGTCCTGGGATGGGGCCCCATGTCAGGCTCTCTGCTCAGCGAGAAGCCTGCTTCTCCCTTTCCCATTCCCCTGCTTGTGTTCCCTCTCTCACTGTCTCTCTCTCTCTGTCAAATAAATAAATAAAATCTTAAAAAAAAGAAAAACTGGAGCAGAGACTATTTTTTTAATCATTTTAAATCATTTCATTGACACAGTAACACAATACACCTGCCTCCTTGATACTCCCACCCCTCTTATCCTGTCTATATCTCTCCATCCTTCCTGCTTAGAACAAACTGTTCAGTAAAAACAGAAAAGGATAGGCTCCTACTACATCTCCAGTCCTGCCCTTAGGCCCTGTGAATCAGAATTGATTAGAGAGAGCAGGTGGGCATCACCATCCTCAACCAATCAGAGGCATCCAGTACCTATAAACAGATTCCCTCATAACCCCCAGGCCTAGAGTTGCTATTCTTCCTCCTGTCTTTCTTTGTGATGCTGAGAAGAAGGTCATGGGGACTGGGCCTGCAATCAGGAGCAAGTATTCCTGGAGATGAGTTGAGAATTGTAATTTGGCTAGTGTTTTTTAAGGTACAGGTGCCCCCCAAAATGCTCTGGTAGTGGAGGTGAACTTCAGTGTTCTTATTTAAAATGCATATGTGACATTAAACAGATAAAGCCAGTTTACCAAAATGCCAACTCATAAAGAAGTAAGTGCAGGAACTTTTGAAACAAAGTAATTACCTCCTTTTTTCTCAAGAGATGAAGATCCTGAGGTCAAGAGAGGTATCCCTATAGGACTTGAGTGTGAATTTGTGCTCCACTACTTACATTATGTGATCTAAGACCATTACTCACTTTTCTGAGCTTCAGTCTACTGCTTTATCTAAAAAAAAAAAAAAAAAAAAAAAAAAGACGGGCTCCTGGGTGGCTCAGTCGTTAAGCCTTTGCCTTCGGTTCAGGTCATGATCCCAGGGTCCTGGGATCGAACCCCACGTCAGGCTCCCTGCTGAGCGGGAAGCCTGCTTCTCCCTCTCCCTCTCCCCCTGCTTGTGTTCCCTCTCTCGCTGTGTCTCTCTCTGTTAAATAAATAAATAAAATCTTAAAAAAAAAAAAGAGGGGGAATGCAAATGCAAACTGAGCTCAGTCAGTTTTTGAAAGAACATAGCTAAAAGACCAAGCATGAAGCCTGGCATGTACG